GGGGGGGGGGGCATCGTCAGCATCATCTCCGGGGGAAGGGGAAGGGGGGGAGGGGGGGAGGCTGTATATTCATATCCTCAAGAATATGGAGAATGGAGAATAGTATGTACCAACTGTCGTGCCTTGTTGGGACCTCCCGCTTGGGGAGCCATGCTCTGTCTGTTCAATCCGCCGTAATTACGGGAGGCCATGATTTTGTCCTGTTGTTATCCTTGTCCTTGTCCTTGTCCCTATGTGTGCTTGTGTGTGTGTATGCTTGTGTGTGTGCTTGTGTGTGTGTGCTTGTGTGTGTGTTCCTTCTCGGAGGAGATATTCGCCGTGTTCTGCTCCGTATCGTAATGATGCGCTCAGAGCGCTGATGACGGTCAATGGTTTTTGTTTTCGGATGTCGCGTGGGGCAGTGGGGGTGTTGTTGTGTGCCACGATGGACTAATAAATAGGATAGTACTGGGTAAGTGCGGCACCGCTCGGCTACTATGTATACATGTTACTTCATCACAATGTATGATTCATATCCGTAGATGCTGCCGGCATCATCCATTGTTTCAAAAACACCGGCAACACACAAAAGTTCAGGATATATATATATACCCGTACCATTATTGCTTTCCCGTCGGTCTGCCTCCTTTTTACCGTGCTTCCTTCACCAACTTCGACATTCACCGTTCTCCTAGGAGAGAGAGATAAAGAAAGAGAGAGAGTGTTGAGTCTGCGTCTGTGTGCGTGCCCAGATGAGAAGAGAACAATGAAAAGATATAAAGAAAAATACGGAATCACTGAAACGAGAATGTAAACCCCGAACAAGAAACGGTTGTTCATAAGATATCAATAATGATGAAAGTAATAACAGAAGGACAGGGGAAAAAAAAACACGCAGTCTATTCATATTCGTTGACTAATACCATTACACCAACCAAAGTAAGACGAGTATAACAACAACAAGAGGAATATAGGAAAGTATATAAAACAAGGAGTGTGTGTGTGCGTGTGGTATGACATGACAGAGGAGAAGTAACTGTCATGTTCCTGTATCCATTACCAAGACAGTCGGTGTACTGCTTCCCGACTGCTTTATCCGAAGAAGAGAAAAAGAGAACCTGGCCTCACCGACCATGTGCCCCAAGAGAAAACCATATAGAAGTATCAACTTTGTATTCCCCATGGCCCAATGCTTATTATCAGAAAGAATAAAGGAAAAGAAGAGCAGAGGAAGAAAAAAGAGTATCGTCAAGGCCAAGGTTATATCTTCGTGCAGCCTGTATTTCTTGTCAACATATTCCCACCAGACCGCCTATCTGTTCTCTTGTGAGAGGTTACCCTTGCCCTCTTTCTCGGGCATCTTGTCTGTTCTCTCTATTGTCTGGCAAGAACGAGCCTTGACCCCCCCTCCCCTGACCTTGACGACGGAATAGTAATAGTGGTGGTAGTAGCAGTATAGCAGTAGTAGTAGTAGTAGTAGTAGTAGTCCAAAAAAAAAAAGCATTCCTTTCTATCATGCGCGTCGCCTCTTTGCTCTCTTGACACCATCGACACGAAGAGGTTTTGGTGACGAGGAAGGAGAGTAGACAAACAGGCGAAGGAGACAAAGAGAGTACGGGCGTGCGTGTGCCTTGCTCTGACGAAGAGCGGGATACTGGTAACAGCAGCAGATCAAAGAGGGTCCCAGACTCATCGCACACCGACAGGAACGTGCTGCTGTAAGCTGCTCTGGCTGCTGTGTGCAGAGGGTTCCGATTCGGCTTCACCGCTACCCGCGCTGGCGCTCGCACTGCCCGTCAGACTACCAACATTCCGTGACTTGGGTGGTTGAAGGTTGCTCACCCCTACTTGCTGCTCTACTTGCTGCGGAGCAATCGCGTTTTCTTGGCCGGGAGGGAAGCGGGGAATCGGTTGACGCATGCCATCGGGAGGTGACGGACGCCCGTTGACGCCGTTTGGCGGGGATGGCCGGCCACCGCCTCCGCGGAGGGACGGGCTGTAAGGAGTGCCGGGCGATTGGCTGGTACGGCGTGGGTAGGCACCGTTCATGCCCGGCATGCCGCCAGAGGCAGGCCCAAACTGCATGTCATCGAGGCGGGAAGCCGTCAGCGAATTGGTTCTGGAACCAGCAGCACCCATGGCGCCCCTGTCCACGGCGCCGTAGCGGTTCGAAGTCGCGCCGATCAGAGCGTCATCGAGGAACGGTTCTCCCGGGGCGGGGATACCAGCACTGGGGCCTTGGCTGACACGGCTGCGGCCAAAGTGGGGGCGGAACCGGGAGCCTCGCGAGGCGGGCGGGTTGGCCTCGGGGTTCTGACGTATCTGCGAAGCCGTGGGGGGCGGGGCCTTCCTGTTCTTCCTCTGCGTCATGCTCATCATGTCAAAGTTGTCGGGGTCGATGGTGGGAACATTGGCGGGCATGGGGTCGTAGTCGTCGTCGTCGTCGTCGTCGTCAAACACTTGCTGGCTGTTGCGCATGGGGTGAGGGCCGCGCCTCTGAGTTGGCGGCGGGCCCCGCCTCTGCCTCATCTCCTGGTCCCTGAGAGCGAGCTCTCTCTGGCGAAGCTGCATCTCACGCTCGCGAAGGGAATCGCCACCCTTGACCGACTCGGCTCCCTCGGGAATGTCGTCGTACATGACGAGATGCGAGAACTCCTCTAGGTCGTTGCCGTCCATAGAGCCACGACGCGACGGAGCCCGCGAGCCTCCGTTCATGTGAGAGGGAGGGCGCCCATAGCCGTTGGGGGGGCCTCCATTAGTCGGGGGCGGGGGGCCGCGGCGCATGCCCGGAGGCTGGTTGAAGTTGGACGAGTTTCGGGGACGCGGCTGCCTGGGAGGCATGCCCCCGCCGGGAGGGATACCGCTCACCATGGGCCTGTGGCCAGCCTGCGACGGCATTCGTGGCGGAGGAGAGGTCATAGTGGGTGAACTGGGAGGACGAAAGCCCGGGACATCGGCCGCACGGGGTCGGGTGCGGTTGACAACGTTAAGATTATGCAGGATGGCGTAGAGCGTTTCGATGCGTGGGACGGGAACCGACCGGTCACGCGCCAGCTTGAGGGGCGAGCCCAGGTACGTCTCGACCTCCATTGGCCGCTTCGCCATGAAGTCCTGCCACATGATGCTGTCCGGGGTGTTGGGCTTGGTCATGTCGGCGATGACGGTCTGCTTGAAATCGGGTGGGAACTTGCAGTCATTGGCCTCGGCCAGCTGCACCAACTCGTCCAGGACGCCATTCACCATGTCCTTGACGCCGACCTTTTCCAGCAGGGCAGTGTGGTTTGGCGTCTCAAAGATGATGCTCACTGGGTGGAAAGCTATGGGTCTGCGGTAGGTTTGTCAGCATCATATACCGCCATACATGTACACGAGGTCAGTCTTGTCGTGAGCTTGTCCAGAACGGAAGCTAGCTGTCGTCTTCTTGATTCTGTCACTCACCCAATGACACGCTCGAACTGCTCTTGGAGGATGTTCCGGGACACCTTGCACTCAACTTGACCGGTGTTGAGGGTCATAGCCAGAGCGTCGGCCATGTTGTCCTGGATCTCGCGGGGAATCTTGCTGTTCCTATTCGCCGGGCCAATCCACATGTTGGTTGTGCCCTTGTGCTCGAATTCACTCTGGCCTAGCTGTGATAGGTCGGCTCCGCATACGAGCGACAGAACGACGTTTGTGGGGAATCGCTCCTCGATGGCAGCCTCCACGCCAAGTGTGTTGGTCGTGTTGACGAGGATGCAAGTGTGCTGAGGAGTAACGACCGAATCGATAACTGAGGCGAGATCGTAGACATCGGGCAGTGCCTTGACGCAGAGGACGACATAGTCAAATGACGGGTCTCCGGACGCCGAGGCGTCTTCAGGATTCCGTACGACTAAACAGTTAGTTCGGTCAGCGTCGAATACCGATTACAGGGTCTGGACACGATCGCGGACGGGAGAAGCCGAGAATTGAATGCGAACATACCTCGCCGAGGCTTGAACCGCTCGTTGCCAAAGCTCTGAGATCTAGTAGAGGAGATGGTTATTAGACCAATGAACCGCAGGGGGAAAGAGTCGGGAGAGTGCATATGACTGATGACTTACTTGAACGATATACCGTACTGCGAGACGTGCTCAAAGCCTGACTTCCAGACCAAGGTCACATCGCAGGCGTTGGTAGCCTGGAGCCTCCATGACAGAAAAGCAGAGACGGAGTTTCCGCCAACTGAACATATGCGCATTAGCTCGCTGTCCTCCATTTTTTCCCCTTTTTTCCCAGCAGCTTCTTGACCCGGCTGTATGGCTTTGATATCCGAGCACCGAATCTCTCTCTCTCTCTCTCTCCTTCTCTCTCGGAGAACCGGTATCAAAGCCGGTAGAGGCGTGGCTGCGTGTGCGAGGGTATGGAACAAACGGCAAAGGAAGAGATGCGAGGGGGGTGCGGGAGAGGTTGGTGGTAGTGGTAGTGACGGGGGAACAGGCGAGTTTCGGGGTGGCGCATCAAACCCGTTCGAACACCATGAGAGCAAGTATGGGATTTTCTCGCGCCCAGTACCAACATAGGCGGCTCTGTCGCAAAGCCAATGGTAAAGGGAGGGACACGGGAAGAATGGCCAGACAACGTTGGCGAGGAAGGATGGGTGTGGACGGTGTTTGATTTGGGAGGGGGGGAAGAGAGCAAAGCGAGAGAGCGAAACAAGAGAACAAGCAAAAAAAAAAAAGCGTGTGTGGGTAGGGGGGGAGAACCAAAGAAGCGGGATGTGGTGGACGAACCTGAGAGGACACTGAGTCGGGACGACACTGGAGCCATAGTTTCTTCTTAGAGCACTAGTATGGGATGAGCAAGGGCGGGCTGTAAATCCAGAGCTGAGGGTTTGGAGAATGAAGTGGAGTTAGGCTCTCCCGACGACCAAGGCGGCGTCGTTCCACACAATGCGCGTCTCTCCGGCTAAGCCGACGGGGTTGGTGTCTTGGACGTGATGCCCTAGAGGACCAGCTGGAGCCCTGGACACGCCCCTAAGATCTCGCTCAGGCACCTTGTGTGGTTGTACCCTGCGTGCCTAGCTAGCAAGCTAGCTGCGTCGTGTCTACTCCGTCCGTAGCCTGCGTGGGGCT